AACATCGGGAGACCATTAACAGCTGAATCACAGCGCCAAAGAAGACACTGCTCATGACTTTGGAGTACACAGGTGACGCTGTAGCTGAAGTCATTAAAAGTCGTTTATCCCAACCATTTGAACACTGTTTTATGCACCTCAGCTACATTTAGTATTTACCAGTCGAAATATGATTCGACAGCGCGTTAAGGATAAATTACCACTTATGTCCAACCCTATGTGTATACACTCATTCACATGGTCGTGTAGAGCTGATTACATTGGGCGTTGTAAGCATGTTCTCCGTAAACGCGTAGCTGAACACTATCCGGTTTGGTTAATGAAAGAGGAGCATAAAACAACGAGGTCTTCCATTTGTGAACACCTTCTGGAGTCAGGCCATTCAGACTCAAGTGTTGGTTTGTAGGGATTTGATTGGTTTCAGGATTTCATCATGAGCTGACATTAGTTAGAGGAACATTTGAAAACCTGGGAGTACTGGACAGCTGTTTTGTCCTCGTTTAGGACTCTTCAGAAGTACGCACACACCATGATTCGAACCCAGGACCTTCCGGTTACAAGGCAAGCTCATATATCATTAAGCCACTGAGACCCAATCCAGTAGTCCTTGAATTCTAACTTCTGCCGACTCGCGACATACCGCGACCGGTAGACAATGTCTTCGGCGGGTATTTGTCCTCACCCTACTGGTCACGGCGAGCTCGTGGCTTAATGGTATACGAGCTCACCTTTTAACCGGAATGTCCTGTCCAGTACTCTCAGGTTTTCCAATGGTTCTCTGACTAATGTCAACTCATGATGAAATCCTAAAATCCAGATTAGTTTACCAAAATAATAAAAGAAGTCTAGAGAATAGTTTAGCTGTAACACTTCCTACATGTAATTACACACAACACATCCATACATTAAGATGGGATAGGATGACAGCTGTAAAATCTCATGTAATCTGGTGGAGGGAGGGAGAAATTGACAAAGGAACCTTTGTTTGTCGAATCAAATGCAAATACTCAAGTTTCGAAGTCGTATGATTATAATTGGTGCTATGATTATGAACTGTGATGGGAGCGGGTTGCTAGCCAATTTGTAGACATCAATCTACGTCAGTGTCTAGGTCACTAATATTGGTCGTGAGAAAATATGGACAAGGCTGTTTCAACAACCAATCACAGCTCCAATTTCTGAGGTTACCCGAAACAACTAATCAGAAGACTGCATCTTTCGACTTGAATAAGCTATAATAATGTACAGGGAGTATATATAAATACGTGTTGATTTCCGTAATATAAAGATATGTTGCCGGCCCATGTCTTCTTTTGTTACGGAAAAATAAATTTGGTTCGAAACGTCATCAGGTAAATAATGATACTGATTGCCACTGTGATTATGTATCTAATAAACAAACTAATATGGAATTACTTACTACCACAGTATCGAAGATTTACACATAAAACAATTTAAAGGGAAAGTCAGGTTGTCTGCAGCTGACAGCCACCCAACCTCAGTCTGAATCGAACTTCAACAGCTGCCACAACTCTAGTCAGTAGCGAAAGATCAGAAGCCACAGAATCCCGGTCCGTTTAACACAAGAGAGATTGTTAAGAAGTTTTAACTAGATCAACGAATAGATCCGGGCCAATTACACTGTTGGAACATAAAAATTTAGTTAAACACAAAATGATTGGCAATGTTATGTTGAATTACATAGGAAAGAGCTCATTCGCTGTATTGCATTAACTTGCATGCAGTCACACGATACAGTGAGAGTATTAAAATGTGATATCGTTAGAGTGAGAGACAGAGAGAGCGGAGGCTAATCACTGAATCGTCGCTTACCGGTTCCGTATGCAATCGAAATGATGTGACGCCTATCAGGCAAATCATGAAGCTGTGCGACAGTCTAGGATTACGAGCAATAATTTATACTGAAAACGTAATCCAGTTATTAATACGCTGCGACAATATGTGATAATTGAAACAGTTATCTGGTTCCACTGTCAGCCACGTCTTGTAAGCCGTTAATGCCCAGCTCTTGCTACGCTGGGCCTCACGCTGTCTCTCGAAGCTTCTCAGAAACGCTTGGTGTGAACGGACGAAAAAACCAGAACACAGATTGGCAACTCGAGAATACTTTATTGTAACACCAACATATAGCAAACTTCACAACTAAGGCCTATGAACAAATATTGCAATAAAAATCACAAGATTACTTCTGACGGTTTGCTACTGACTTCTTTCTGAACAGCGACCGATGAGACGATGATTGTCGTATTGATGCCTCCGCGAAAATTGGGGAAGATGATTTTGAGCAAACACCCATGAATTGATCGTTCAATCTTCATTCCAATGACAAAACTCATTTACAGCATGTTCGCCAGCGTCTTCAAATGGTAGAATTGGATCGTTCATGGAATTTGAGTGGTTATGAGATAAATGGTTTGGAATCCATCTTCATTATTATTAATATTATTTCAGTTTAGATGCAGGGTTGTTCGACCTCGAACAGGAGATAAATAGAAAGTTATTCACGGCAGCAGAATACCAGAAATAGAAAGTATGTCAACATGAAAAATACATCAATGTTATATGCATATATAAATGCTTATGTCGATTGCATATTATACCATAGTAAACTTTTACCTATATTGTAGTTGTGTTTTCACGTATTTATGCTAAGTCTTAGAGTTTATTTAGTGTCAAAAAATATATTAATGAGTATGAGCGTTTTAGTGTTCTAACAACTGATGCATTTGAGAAATAATTCATGGGTTCTGGTAGGGATAGTCATTGGGATGAAACAGTTTATACAGCAAGTGTTTGAAGGTTACAATAGAGTGACAGGTCCTATTTCTAGGAGTGAAATGTTCCTGTATGTCAGTGCTAAGTCTTCATGTATTCATGCTGCTAGTTTATTTATAGTTTTTAGATTGCTAAGGGTGATGAAGTGCGTCCTTTAGGTGCTGTAGTAGACTAATAGCTGATTCGTTCTAGGAGTAAATAATTTATTAATATAATCAGTAGAGTGAAACAGTCTGTACAGAGAGCGTTTGAAGCTTGCAACCGAAGAGTGAGGTATGACATCTATAGGCAGGCTATTCCATATTATAGAATACATGACTGTGAAGAAGTTTTCAAGGAGTGTTGACTTAAAGGAATGAGTTGTCACCGTGCAAGTTTGGTTACGCAGATCGTAAGAACCTTCCTGTGCGAATTGTATGTCCCTGTTACCTGAGAATGATAATTCGTGAAGGCCCTTAAAGAAGACTATTAGGTTTATAATAAGTCTCCTTGTCCAAAGTGGGTCAAGTTTTAGGATCATGCAGCGTGAGATGTAGTCTTTCATACAATCGTAGACAAGTAGTTTTGAGGTAAAATATCGTTGGATGCTTTCCATCATTAGCTTGTCACGTGTGCGAGTGCTGCTTATAATAAATGGACAGTATTCTAGTAGTGGTCTGACACATGTTTTGTACAGAATTAGCTTGGCTTCATTGTCGTGAAAGCTATTGAGTATGAATCCTAAGAGCATCCTCGATTTCGTAGTCTGTGATGCTACCTGTTCAGAGAATGTCAAGTCACTAGAGAACCTCAGGCCTAGGTCAACGACACCTCGGGGTCTGGTTAAGTTAGCAGATTGGAGCGTTAATTTCAGGTCAGGTGAGGGTGGTCCGAGGCCTACTCAGCCACATTTGTTCAGATTAAATTGGAGGTTCCATAGGGACGACCAAGGAGTCATTTTATCTAATTCCTTTTGCACTACATTCTCGAAGTACCCTAAGTCATCACGTTGGAATGTATAAGCTACCTTTAGGTCATCTGCAAAGATGAATGGTTTCCTGTGCGTGAAGCAAGCGCATATGTCATTGATGTATTGCGTAAATAGGAGGGGTCCAATGACACTACCTTGTACAACACCAGAAGTGATAGGGCTAGGTTTGGAGGTTATAGACCCGAGTTTAACTATTTGGGACCTATTGTTAAGGAATGATTTAAGCCATCCTAATAACGGGTCACGTATTCCTAATCAGTTCAGCTTATTTGTTAGCAGTAAATGGTCAACACGGTCAAATGCTTTAGAAATATCAAAGTAGATGACAAGTACTAGTTGCCGTCTGTCACGACTGCTGGTTACAAAATTGAAGAAGTCTAGGTGACATGTTAAACATGATCTGGATTTCAGGAATCCATGTTGGTTCGGACTTATAATATTGCGGCTAGGCATATGTTTGATTAAGTTATCTTTAACTAGTCTCTAATAATAATAATAATATATATTCTTATTTTTTACATGAGGGACGCCAGTTTACAAGCATCATCAATTCGATAAGTTGCACATAATATTAATAAGCATATTTAGTAAAGATAATATGATAATGTACATTATTTCCCTAGCTATGTAGGGTACACCAATTGTATAGGCATGCATAAATATTGTTTTAATAATAATAATATATTCCTTCCTGTTTATGCAGGAACATACTTATTGTACAGGCATGGATAAGTTGTTATATAAATTACACATAATTCGATGTGTGACTAAATTACAGTTTTGTTGTTCTTTCTGACATTAGAGTCAGTCGGAGAAGTCTGCTATATAGTCTGTTTGTGTAGCACATAAAGAGATATAGAGATATTGTCTTCGGATTAACAAAAAACCCAGACATCAGATGAATGTAATACAGATATCTGGGAAAAATAAAGCTTGAAGTCAATTCTCTTACATAGCTTTGTTGTGAACAACATCCTTGGCTTAAAGATTATTGATGTATTATGTTGAGATCAGTGATATATTTATTCCATTTTTCAGCAGTCTTATCGTAGTTTCATAACAGGAAAGAAATTTGATCGTGGAGGCGAAAACTATATAAGGTCATTTTGGGTTGTATTACTGCATCAAATGGTGCCTAGGTCGATTCCAGAATTCTCCATTTTCTCCATTTGTGTCTGCATGGCGGACTGTATTCGTAAGTTCAGTAAAATGTTGAAAACTGTTTGAAAACCAGTTGCTTCTTCATTTCAGATCATGAATACTCATTTACAGCATGTTCGCCAGCGTCTTCAAATGGTAGAATTGGATAGTTTATGGAATTTGAGTGGTTATGAGGTAGACGGTTTGGAACTAATCATAGCAGTTAGAATACAGTTAAACATGGAGAGAAGTACTTTTGATTCAGCAACCGGTGAATTTTTTATTCTTTTCGATCTAGTACCAGAATAACTGCGGACCATTCCATTCAATATGTCGAATAAGCCACGCAGGAGTAGATCATTGCCATCAAATGAGTCAACTTGTTCTGAGATGCAGCTTTCAGCATGTTTTCGTTATATCATAATCTCCATAATTCCAGATGCTATAGGTGTGATATTGATCGGCCAGTAGTTACTGACTTCAGTTTTCGGGCCAGATTTGTGTTTAGGCATATTAAATGTTGTTTTCCATATATCAAAGTAAGTCTGAGTCTCCAAGGACATTGTGACTATTTTAAGAAGCGGTAGAGGAATGTCAAGGCCACCATATTTATAGAAATAAGATGATATACCGTCGGTACCGAAAGCCTTTGAACTTTTGAGGGTTCTTATAATTTGGTTATTGTTAGCGTAAGGGGCTTATATTTGGGCAGAAGATTATGTCTAGTACGTTATTACCTCTAGTGGGAGTAGTGACAGTTTGTTTACAGCCAAGTATATCCAGTGTGTCTAAGAACTTATCAAATTTAGTTGGGCCTGTGGGTATATCCCAGTTGATTTCAGGTAAGTTAAAGTCCCCACATAGGATCTTATGGTCGTATTGTAAGTCGGATAATTGCTCCAGAGTAATGATAAGTAGGGTCTCGTAATTACTAAAGGTGCCAAGTGATCTGTAGGTGCATCAAATTAATGCTGTTACGTTATTTAAGTGTACATTAAACCATAGAGTCTCTGGCATGTTAAGTGTACTACATTCTAGCTGTGATACAGTAAGTGAATTCAGAAATTACATGAGACAAACCCCTCCCATACCACCTTACCTGTCACAACGAAAGTGTGTGTAGTTATCTAATCTTATTTATTCATACCGGATGTTCGAATGACACCAAGATTCAGTGATGACAATTCCCGGGGGGTTTGATCTTACTGTGAGTGCTCTGAGCATCGGCCGTTTATTTAGAACAGATCTAGCGTTTATGAGGAATAGGTAAGGCTGAGAGTTGAAGTAGCATTTGAAGTATTTAAGATCGTTAGTCAGAGCCGGATACGGTTCAGCACCCAGTCATATTGCTTGACATGCAGATCCTGTGTTTAGAGGAGTTTCCGCATCACGCCACCCAATGTCTCTCGAGTTGTTGTGTGCTGTTTACGGTGAAGAATTAGGCGATGGCGTACTGGATTTGCTACAAGCTAAGACACTTTCATTTTTAGTTAGGTTACAGAAGTGGGTAGGGTTATTTATTTGACCTATATTTGTGCAAGTGTCAAGTGTGCTTAATGGATACGGATGCACTAGACCGTTCCTGTTTTCATGCAAGGAGGGGGGCAGCTCTAGTGGTTTAGAAGCGTCAACATCCCTACCAGCTGTTTTTTCAAGGCTGACAGGGACGCGGGGGATAAAAAATGATTGGATCCTTGTGATGACCATGGCTTATTATTCCACCTATTGTTTGATGCTAGTTGTGTCCTTGTGTGGGTTTCGTGTGTACTGCACTGTGGGTTAATTCCCAACAGACTTGTACCATATATCCGGTGAAAATTTGTTTGTGTGCCATACTCTGAAGACCCTGAGTTGTTGGTAGCCGAGTTCTGACTATTACCACTTGTGCTATTGAGGGTGACATTGTTGTGACATTGGATATTAGTGTGTACCGTGGTGCGATTTCGCACGTTGTGAGTGCTAATACTATTGACCGTGGGAAGTGTGGGCTTATTTAAGCTGCCGCTGTTTTTGTTGGCATGATTTAGAGGCATATTTTCCTTACCTTCAGCAATGAAGTTATGGCTAGGAGAGGACAATGTCGAATTTCGGGGGTTTTGACTTTTTTCTGGGGTTATTTAGTGGAATTTTAGATTCTGCTGTGATAGGTGGTATGGTTTATTATTTATTTGGTTACAGTCTAGTGGCCTTTCGGCTGGTGTTGCACTCAGATGGGATAATTCTGTGTGTTTTGAGAGGGGTGATGCGGTGTGGTCTACTGTATCTTTCACAGGGTTGGGAATAATGGCTGCGTGCAATGTCCTATTACTTATTTCACAATTAGGCTTAGAGAGATAATTATATGCACGCCTTTCTATGACAGTTTTGTCCACCCCGACGATTACAGTTTTATAGGTTCTGGCTTGCGATAATGTGTGTTAGGAGTGCATAAAATTTCTGGTCTCTGCCGGTGTTTCGAACTGAAAGCGAATAGGACAACACTTTTCATGTTGACTCTTTTTCAGCCTATAGCACTTAGTCTTGGAGATAGACATTTTCGCCTCACTAAGTAAGATGCGCTGTACCTTTTTTAGTGGCTCATTGTCCGAAACGTTGTAGACAATAGCACTCAGTTTTGCCTCGAGTCGTTTTGTTACTTCTGTGGTAACAAAATTAATGAGGTTATCTACCTTAGTTACCGATTCTGTGTCAAGCTTGTTAAGGTTTACAGTTTTCATGAGGATAGTTAGTAGTGTCAGTTCACAGACCTGCAACCTGATATCGCTGATCTGATCTGATAATTTGGATATCTCGGTATTGGTTTCGATGTTTTCAGCATTTACTGACTTATTGTTTTTCATTTCCCTTAACTCAGCCATAAGTTCTCCTATAGACAACTTTAGAAGTTCTATTTCTGAAGATAGTACTGAAGAAGAGCATGATGGCTGGAGTCTTCCGATAAGCACATAAGGTGAAGGGAGGAGTTCTGTATGAGCAGAGGGTACTGAATTTTTAGGAGTAGTGCTAATACTAGCTGTCAGTACCGTTTTATCTTCAGTTCCAGCTCGACGCTTACGGCGTACACGTGAGTTATGTGACACATTATAGCCTTTTGTAGGTGGTGTATTGCTTGATGTAGCAATCAAGGACGTCAAATTAGCCACCAGTTTTATAGTAGATTGGGTTCGTAGCTTTTTACATTGATTAACCGTAACTATTAGAAATGAGAGTTAGCCGGTACAAGTCTGGAATCAGTATAGTACTTGTGCAAGTATTACAACAAGATAACTTTTATGTCAAGAATCACGTAAAAATGTACGCAAACGTTGAACGTATCGCGATACACTTTTACTGACTAGTTATATTGGGGAATTACATTATGCTTTATTTTTTCTGATGTATTTTTAATCCATGCGATGAACTTACTTGGGTTTTTTGTTAATGCGAATACAATATTTCTATATATCTTGCTGTGCTCCATTGAATGACTGGTTATCATATTGTTCCCAAAACCCAAAGACAAAAACGTCAGCAAACATGTAATTTAACCATGAACCAAATTTATGAAATTTAAATAATGCTTATCCATGCCTGTACATTTGGTGTGTCCTACACAGTAAGAAAATATGTGTATTTTATTAAGACATTATTATTAAGTATGATTGCTAATTGTATATGTAATTTATCAGACTGATGATGCCTGTAATTTGGCATCCCTAATGTACAAAATGAGAATACACTATTATTGTTAATATAATAATACTTACTAATCATGCGAGTTCAATTCTTAAAATTACATTGTTATTAGAATATTTAAAATGATTAAAATATTTAAACATCAAATGTTCTCTTGCTTTACCACGCTCGTTTCCCTTATAACACTCAATTATTGTGCCTAGTGTATTATTTGATATACGAATTATAATACTGATTATACTCTTATCATATATGGTTTGATTAACCCTACGGCTACCTGTAGACTAACTGCCATTCTTCAGTTTACACACACTGCAGTATTGCTAGCCAAATGCCAAAATTTTGTTGGTTCTGTGTTAATATCTTTTTATAATATATCTAGACACGTTACTTTGCAATGTCAGATGTTTACTATATATTAGTACACTAAGTCCTGCCAACCGACCTCACCTTCAGTTCATACTACCTACATTGAACCCTAACTATAGTGTTCTGCTGAATCTTGCTCCACTATTCACAAAACCTATTCGTTTTACTCTTTAAGTTTTTAGCTTTTTATAAAGTAATCTGTTCATTAGGATGCATGCACACATATATAATATGTTCATAAAGATGTACGTGGAGACCTATTGGAAGCACTCATTAAGAAAGCTGGGGAGATGGAATATAGGGTACGAACATGTCTGGTACCAAGCAATATATTTCTGGTAGCCATAATAATCATAGTCTTAGAGCCTAATATCAAGAAAGGAGGGCGGGTGGCGCTAGCGGATCAGTAGATATGATGGTGTTCACGAAGGTGAATCACACCATTCTGCAGGAAGAGCAATATGCCAAATGACGGCTCGAGATATTTCTGATTTTTATGAGGGCTTAGATCTTCATCATGAAAACGCTAATAATGAACGCCTACAAAGATCAGGCTTCTACCTTAAAATCTACACCATTCGCTCATCCTAATGTTGAGACTCGACCAAGTGAGCTCCGCGCCGATTTATGTGGCAGCTTATAAATTAACTTGCTATCCATTGTCGTAACTCCGAATACCACATCATAATGTCTTATCTCATTTATTTTCTACTAACGTCATAACTTGATCCTCATTAAAATTCATTAAACCTAACATTTTATAGATCTTTATGAATTTGATTCGACTTATTCTATTGCTAATCTCTGTAGGGTGCGGTTGTGCACCAAATAGACAAAAAAGCATGAAATAAAAACAACTGGCTTGAAATTAAGTGTATAAAGCCAAAAGTGGACATCATGATTGTAAGAACTATCTTGGTTTTATTATACATTGCAAATGAACGTTGTCGGCCTAAGGATTAATTACTTCCCCATTCTGTTTCATATATAAATGTATTTATTAACGATATATTGCACCTACTTAATTTATTACACTTTAATGATTCACCTTAGCACTTTAACTTTTCTAAAACAGCTTCCAATCTCTTGTAAACGTTGTACCTACCTCAATATTGGTTGGTTATCGCATGCCTAAAACCACGGGATGAAAACGAAACGAAGTCAGTTTCCCGCTGAACCTGGAGGACAATTGCACAATTCACAAACTATACGGCCTAGTTCAGGCAATGAGTGTATTATATGTATATTCATATATATAAATATATATAGATATAGATATAAATTCAGAAACAACCATGAATTGATCGTTTAATCTTCAACCATAGGGACGACCAAGGAGTCATTTTATCTAATTCCTTTTGCACTACATTCTCGAAGTACCCTAAGTCATCACGTTGGAATGTATAAGCTACCTTTAGGTCATCTGCAAAGATGAATGGTTTCCTGTGCGTGAAGCAAGCGCATATGTCATTGATGTATTGCGTAAATAGGAGGG